AAAACAATTGTAGAAAAAATCTTCATTTTAAATTGTTAATAATACAACTGTGGTAGTCCTATATCTCAAACAACATGCTAATGTGATTAGTATAGTCTTTAGCTGAGGAAGGTTGAAGAATCTTGAAGAATTCAAAATGTTTAATTTCTATCCACCTAACGGCGATCGAGCTACATGAATATTTAAAATATTCCATTTTAATTAATTGGTTTAAACAATTAATTGACAAGAAAATGTTCCTTTTTAATTAGTTGGTTAAAATAACAAGGTTGGTCTTAGAAGAGCCTTGATCTAGTTTAACTACACTATTGCTACGGACTTGAAAAAGAAACCTAAACTAAAATACTTCACGAGAGCCACCTTGCTGCCAGCCACCTGTGAGTAGATCGTCGACCGTCGGCTCTGTTACGACAAGTTGAGAGTCTGATTTGCCTGAGGTCTTTCCGTGTGCGGGTAGGCTCAATTTGTTAATTAGGGAGTATCCACACCACATCACATGGACCCAAATTGGGTAGATCGTCAGCCGTCGGCTCTGATGCCACAAGTTGAGAGTCTGATTCGCTTGAGGTCTTTCCGTGTGCGCGTAGGCTCAATTCGTTAATTAGAGAGTATCCACACCACATCGCAATATACATTGAATGATCCAAGTTAGGAGTCTAATTCGCCTGAGGTCTTCTCGAGTGTCGGTAGGCTCAATTCGTAAATTAGGAAGTATCCACATCACATCGCATGGACCCAATATACATTGTGGCTCAATATATTCATTAATTATGGCTCGCCTTGTGAGTGGCGAGGCATACAATTGTATATTAAGATCCAATTTTTTTTTCTATTTTTTCGATGTGAGACTCAATCTTTCACTCATATTCCCAGCCAAACGAAATCCGAAAAGGTAAATTAAACGGCCCACAAATAGCTCTTGGAAAGGTCCGTTCAGTTTCTCTAAGGAAGTAAAAAAGAGGATTTGTTTGCTTTCTCTCTGTATTTTAGTGAGAATACACCAAAAGAAGCCAACCCATTTTGCCTTGATGGTCGAGCTTGTTGCAAGGGAATCTGGAGACAGACACGGTCAAAACAAAGATAACATGCATTAATCCAACCGAGGCCTACAGGATACAAAAGAGATTGCACTAGTATTATTCAGTAGTGCGGCCACATAGCGTGCTAGATGACTACCGCATCACACATGTGTGTGGATTTTATATATTAAGTTGTGAACCCAACGAGAATATGTGGTGCTGAGGTGTCCTGGAGAACTATGTGGCCATGCTTGCATTGAATAATCATACGTCTCACTCTCTCTGTCTCTCTAGCGTAATTATTCAATAGCGTAACAGTATTGCCACATAGTGTGCCAAATCACTACCACGTCACACATGTGTGTAGGGTTGATCATATATTTAGTCGTGAACCCCGCGAGAATATATGGTGTTGGGGTGTCCTAAAGCGCCACGTGACCATGCTCCGGGAGCAGTGAATAATCAGACGTGTCTCTCTTCCCCTTTTTGCATTACCAGGCCAGGCCAGGCCACTACTAGTAGCTACTAGCTAGTACTGCTCAATGCTCGATCATTGTATATAGTTAGTTGTGTCAGCATCCTTTGTAAAATCATCCAATATATATATAGGAGTAGTAGAGTTTTAATTTGCATAAAACAAGTACTCCAAGCTAGCCACTACAAATATGAAATTATTGAGTCTCTCTTTTCTTCTCTTTTTGGCCTTCTTCTACTTGACGCTACATGTGGTGGATGGAAATAAAGTTGATGCCAATGGAATGCTGGTCGGTTCTGATACTTCTGTAAATGTGGTGGCTCTCTCTCTCTCTCTCTCTCTCTCTCTCTCTCTCTCTCTCTGTGTTCAGGAATGGTAGCAAGAAATTAACTTTTTAGAATAGAGTTCCATTAAAACCTGTTTATGCTAACACTCGCCCGTTAAGTATATGTATGGAGTAAGTCAAGGTGTTTTCAGCAGGAGTAAAATCACAAAATTTCTGGATCATTTTCAAATAAATTTTCTTTTTTAGAAAAAGGACTTTAAATTGCTCATGAATGCCCTTTGCTTTCGAGGATAATTTTTTTTTTTTTTGTCTCAAGAATCTGAAACATATATATGTTTAGATAAGCGGGAAAAGGTCCGAACAAAATCAAAAAAAAGAGTTTACATTTTGAATGTAGAATGCATAAAATCTTCTATATCTATGCATAGATATCCTGCTTGTACCAAAAGACACTACACAAAGTCACAAACCTCAGACCAACTTAACAACCTAATATTTATTTAGAGTTTTTTCTAATATGTTTCGGCCCAATTAATTTGTTCATAATTAGATCTCATATCATTTTTTTTTTTTGATCCTCGATCTCATATCATTAGAACTGTAAAATTTGTATAGAGAGTAGGTTGTGCATCGAATGTCAAATCGATGGTATTGGTCAATGTCAAGACATGAAACATTGTCAAATGAAATTGTCGATTATGAGGGTTGCATATTTATTTTTCGCAAGTTGAAAACGATAGCATTAGGACATGAAATCAGTTTCATTTACTTATTAGTTAAGGTATTTTTGTAGGAAATAGATGTTCATTAATTAGTGTACATGTACATCCACAATGTCAAGTTGTCATCCAACCCCTTTCCTTTGGCCTAAATTTACGGTAATTTTAAAACTGTCTTTTTAGTTATTTTCTCTTAATCTTTATTGAATTTGAGTGAATTTCTTTGGATTAATTGTTTGTCTTGACGAATGAAGTTTACAAATTATAAAACTAATTATGACCAAAAGTTGCAAAAAAATCTTTAAAAAAATTTCCAAAAATCGCTAATACCCACTGTCTTTAAGAATAATGAATTTAGTCAAAACCAAACTAAATTAATTTAAGTTTGCAAATGATGCCACCCACCTTAATTCATGGAGTTGCCACTAATTCAAATACATCAAAAGATACTCTAAAACACAAATCTCCTATATATAGACACGTGCGCGAACACGCTTGCACACACACTTCATGTATATTGTTAGGTTTGTGCTTCTTCTTTTTTTTCCTTTCTATTAGCCAAGAAAATCTCATTATCATTATGTTTGGTTAATTTGATTGGGGTACTCTTTATTGCAGGAAATAGATGAGTGTGAGAAAGATAATGCTGATCAGTGCAAAGAAGGCAATGGTGGTGGGGCAGCAGAAGAGACAAGTTCTTTTGAGAGTGAAGACTATATCTACACTCAGTCCATCCCTTAATTAACTAGATAATTAACTTCCACATATAATTTTTGATCTTCCATTTTTTTGAATTTTAGCTCTTAATTAACTTGGATCAAGCACTGGCTAGTTAGTTAGACAAGGGAAAATCTTTTCCCCATGATCAGCAACCACTAATTTCATACACTTTTGTTTTGTAAATGTTAATGGATCCAATATTAGAATTATAACTAGTCGATCAAGTGCTCCTACTATTATGGTCTAAACCCTTGGCTACTGTAGTTTCTACTTGTGGAATCCTTCGATTTGGGGTCCGACTCTCATTCGCGTACTGTCAATTTCTATTTAATTTGGATTAGTTTATGTGGGTCTTATGCCAGATTTAGCTGCCCCCAGTACCCCAATCCCATTAATGAACTCTGGGACTGGTCTCCAGATTTGTTCTCAAGGTTAGTTGGTCCATTACGGTGAATTTTATCGATAGAAAAGGTAATTATGATTCACATGGAGTAGTGAATGAGTATTTTCTTCTTTTCTTTTCCCTTTTTGGTGTAAAATATTGAGGCATTTGTGCAATGGCCCTTAAACACATTTATTTAATTTCTAATTTTCTAAAAAAATAAATTTCACACTACGATGTATGCAAATTGAAAACATCTATTGTTGATCTTGTGGTTTAAAACTCCGATATTTGTTGATCTATCTTGTGGTTTAAAACTCCACATCTGTCTTTTATTTTGGGATTAGACACTTTTTCACAAACAAAGAACACATAAATAAATCCTCATAAATAGAGAAAATGAAAGCAATAGTACTAATGTGAAAATCAGAATTTATCATCAAACAGGGCACAGTTTCTAAAGACTAGCAATTTCATGATTGCATTTCAATATTTTGGTTTGCTTGACTCCCACATCGACTTAGTCGGTCACTCTTGTACACTCCTAATTGGAAAGTCAAGGGGTCAAATCTTATTGAAGGCAATAATCGATAATTTCTCTCCTTAAATGGGCTCTTTCTTTATTTCTTTGTTTTTTTGGGAAAATGACGGCCAATGACGTGTTTTGATAATTAATATCCGTCAAGGACATTTTCAGCATTAACAAATGTTCTTAGCATATTATTGCCGGGTATTAATTATCAAAACACGTCCTGAGCTGTCATTTTCCCTTGTTTCTTCCCTATGATGGGCTTATTTCTTGTGTCGGTTGAGTTTCATGGATTCCCACAAAATTGATGTAGTGTCCCGTACATGATGTAAATAATCTCTCGTATCGATTGAGAAAAAGACACTACCACATGGACACTCTAATAAGACACAAGATCATATCTCTAAATTGAGATGATATTTATAAATAAAAAACTCTAAATTGAGATTAAAAAAATTGGGTATTAGGTAGCCATTCTTTTTCCAACATACTTCTTGGTGGTTGCCCATCATGTACGGCAATCGGCATGGTAAGATTAAAATACTGCAATGGCATTTTGTCTATCTTATTTGGGTTCAGCTGGCTGTGGATCCAGGTTATCTGTCCGTCCTTGTATCGTCTCAAACCCACAAGGCTCATTTGTTGATAAGCCTATAAATGGAGGAAGAATATATCTCCCTCGTTTTTTTGATAACTTTGATATTCGGGACAGTTTACGCGCACGTCGACTAATTTTGAAAATTAATTCCATGGCCCACTTCTAAGGATTTCCAATTAAAGTCGGATCAAAACTATACATGAATTGGCCCCAAAAGAGTTCATAACACCTGAGAGGTTGCGAATCTGAGACTTGAGAGGAAAAAAAAGGGGGTGCAACGAGAGGACTTCCCGATGGGTCACCCATCCTAGCTAGTAATACTCTTGCCCAAGCACATTTAACTACATCAATTCTCATGAAATTCGGTGTATTAGTGCTGGTATGATCACGCTCAAATAGTTGCGGCATTAATAATACCACGCCCATCATGTTACTGCTGGTCTTAGCCCGACCCTAGCCTCTTTATTGAGCGGGCTAGCCCAGCCCGGTAAAGAGTTGGATTGAACTCGGGCTCGTTCACAAGCCTGGCTCTCAAGCCCGCCTGTTTACCGGGTCCGTCAACCTGCAGTCTAGCCTGCCGATGCTCAACCTTTAGGTCCATTCCTTACTGTCATGTTAAAATTCGAATTTTTTTGCAAGGCGAAAGAATAGTGACGCGATTTGAAAAGGTAATTGATTTTCAAACTATCTTTTCCACATCAATTTTTTATTATCACTCATGTGAGTTTACAACAATGCCCTTTCATGTATAAGAAATAAACAAGTAAAAGGACATAAAAGGAAAAAAAAAAAAGACACAAAAACATGCTAGTGTGCTACTAATATTAAAAGAATGCTTATTCACGTTTGCAAGCGCACTTTTGGACGCAAATGTGTAGGTACGTTTTGCGACCTAGGATCCGCCTCCGTCTAGGCTCTAGAGAAAGTACGTATAAAAGTTATTTTTTCTTGGCATCTAACAACTTGTTCACAAGTGAACAAGAACATTTGTTTAAGCACATAACTAGCTAGGTTCCTATTTTCATACCAAGTATAGATGCAAAATGTGTCCTTCCATAAAATTGCTTGCCTTTGGAGAAGGAGTTCTTTAATTTGTCAGAACATGTGCTTTCCAAGCTACAGCTCTCACCTGTTTCAACACTACGGGTTAGCCTACAAGGCTTGTAGGGACTCCCCACAACCAAGATTCTGTTCCGTCGCTTAATGATAAACATAAGCAAACAAATTTTGAAATTGCACAACAGCATTAGAGGGATATGGAACATCTGAGGATCGGGGGCGGCCGACCGGCCGTCCATTTCGGTGATGGATGGCTCGGATTTTAATCCGAACAATGGACAGCTCGGATCAATAAGAGTTCGAATAAAATTCAAGCCGTCGGCGTCAAAATAGACAGCCGGATTGACCGCCCTACAGTCCCTGCAGTACGGGCTGCACTGCAGGATTTCCCATTCCTGGGATGGATGCCCTAGTTTGCACTACAACAAAAATTACTTCCCTTGGCAGGCAACGAACGCAATGGAAAGTAATGGATAACATTCAGAAAAATGCTAACTTAGGTCATCCACAGTGGTATAATCAAAAAAGGATAATCAAAAATTGACACATCAGCTTTTAATTATTCACTTAAGAGGTTGCTAAGCTTAACAATGTTGAGTTTCACAATGGTCATTTCTAGTCCATAATCAAAATAAGGGTCCACTACAATCTCACTCTCTCTCCCCCTTTGTTTCCTGCCATTCATTTCCCTCCATTTACGTTTTTTTTTTGGCAAAAATATATCAATTCCTCTCTTAATTTTGGAGAAAAATCGATGACTTTCTTCCTTCCTATTATGATTTTTTTTGGAGGAAAAAAATAGAAACGGGAAAGAAGAGTGAAATACCTTAATCCGGTGATGATGAGTTAAATTGTAGATAATCGAGAAATATGAGCTTCATTTTTTGAGGGTAAGAAAGAAAAATAGTTTGTGGGTGAAGTGAAGAAAATATAGAGTAGGCGAAGAAGAGAAAAAAAAAAACCAATTGAAATACGCGTGTATGTAAATTTTGGAAGTAGTTAACTTATGTGGTGTGGATTTCACAAATTTTGATTATTGAAAAAGGCTACTAAGTTTGATTATCCAAAGTCCAAAATTTGATTATTTCTAAGAATGTTGTTAAGTTTGATTATATCATTGTGAGCCATCTTTTGCACCAATATTGTTAATTTTAAAAACAATTGACTTTTGATTATACCACTGTGGATGGCCTTGGAGTATCCACAATGGCATAACCAAAAGTGCTAGGTTTTTAAAGTTAACAATATTGGTGCAAAAAATAGCTCACAATGCTATAATCAAACTTAGCAACCTCCTTAGAAATAATCAAATTTTGAACTTTCAATAACCAAAACTAACAACTTTTTGTCAATAACCAAATTTAATGAATCTCACATTCTCAATCAAATACACACTTCATTACACACACAAAAACGCATTCTATCTCTTCCCTTTTCCCCTTTCTTTTTCTTTTTCAACAATGTTTTCAAAAACAGTATTATACTTAAATTTTTTTAAAAAAAAACTGTTTTCCCCCAAAAATTATATTTTAACTATTTTTAAAAAACATTTTTATACAAAAAAATTGTTCTTTTTTTTTTTAAAAATTATTTTGTACAAGAAAATGTTTTTTTTAAACATTTTCTTATATAAAAACTATTTTTTCAAAAATCGTAATTACACAAAAGCTGTTTTTCTTTTTTTTTTTTAAATCAAAAAAAGTTCAAAAATTATTTTCTATTTCTAATAAATAGTTTTTCATAGTGTCAAAATTATTTTTAGAAAAAACTATTTCTATGTTCACAGTTGTTAGTTTTTTTTTTGTAATTTAAAATGGTGTCATGGCAACTTTTGATTATTCAATTTTGATTATGCCATTGTGGACCTCTACATTGCTAACCTTAGCAATCTCTTAAATGGATAATCAAAAGCTGATGTGGCAACTTTTAGTTATCTATTTTTGATTATAGCATTGTGGATACCCGTAGCCCATGTTGTTAGGACTTTTGATAGCGTTCTTTGCCCACAATGGATGATTCACTATTAAAACCCTTATTTGTTGCAGTAAATTACTTCACATTATATATGGAACTTTTATATATATTTAACCAACATGTACCATGCATACAATACTTTTCTTGTCCTCAATTGCTGGTCTTTTCTTTCACTTTTGCTATGCCCAAAAAAATCACAAAAGCAATCACACCATGAATAGCGATGAACCTAAAGCAGAAAGTCCGTGGACACAGCAAATTTGTGCACAAATCGTACACAGATTTTTATGTGGGGCCTACTACGGATCCCACACAAGTGATTCAAGCTGTTCATTATGTTTAAAACATTTTTTCAAAGACCTCCACAAAAAATTAGCTTAATCCGATACCTATAAGTACTTGATCTAATCATCTAACAATTTCATTCTCTAAAAACCTGAATAATAAGTTAGATGATTAGATCAAGCACTTATAGGTATCGGACTGAGCAAATCGCGGAGGCCCTTGAAAAAATATTTTAAGCATAATTAACAAATCGGATTATTTGTATGAGACTCTTAGTGAGCCCCACAACGGAATCTGTGCACAGATCGATTTGTTCGACCTAAAGATTGGCGATATCCTTATATGTAAGGAACCCTTAGAGCATCTGCAATGGCATAATCAAAGCCAAAAGGTCGTGTGGGTTCGAGCAAATGATGAACATTGTTCTTGATGCTTATTCCTCTTTGTATTTGGCAAATGATTTACATTGTCTGGGAGTGTTTGCGTCGCAACTCTCTTTATCCCAACTCTATTTTTCCGGACTAGATATTCGAAAGTCACACACACAGATCAACCGCACTTTCCTCACAAGAAAAATGTTTTTTTTTTACCCAAATGTAAGATCGTAACCACAGAAGCTTAAAAAGTTTCCCACATCAAATATCTTAATTGTCACTTTTTCCTGGCCAGAGAAGGTGTAATTATCAATTTGTTTTGAAATCTTTTAGCTGCTGAGCTTAATTTTGCTAAATCATATTTCGAAATCAAAATGAAAAAAATGAGAGATGAAGCACATCAGCACTGAGTGATATTGGAAAAGTTCAATATATACCATATAGTGTTCTGTTGGCATAAATACTTACACAGTTACATGTAATGTACCCACAAATTACCTGTAAGAGTAGCAATTTTCCTTTAGGAAAAACCCCCCGAAGAAATGATGATGTAAAAGGCGTCGGTCTTCAATTGATTCCATCATATTCAACTTCCTTGAGATGCTGTACAGATGCATGAAGGGTCGGAAGTTTTACTCTTGGTGGCTCACCAGCTTCATTAGATCGTTCGGGACAAAAAACAATGTACCTTGTTCCGCTAGAGCCAATTTCTAAACGATAAAGGAGCTGTCCGGCGGCATAACCGCCAAGAAGTTGGTATGATTTTTCTGACTGATCTAGCGCGTGACAAAAGTCATCTGTGCCTGCAACCAAAACCATGACGTGAATTAATTACATTAATCAAACAACCGTGGAGATGTAAAACCGGAAAAACTATGAAGCAGCAACGGCCTTGTAGTTCAGGTGAGCATCCAGACAAGGTATAGCAGGTACAAGGCAATGTTTTTAGTCTATTGGATAGCATTTGAGAATAGTAGGCGATGAATGATCTAAAAAATAAATCCAGAATTATACATGAAATTTGAAACAGAAAGAGAGAAGGAACGAAAAAAACGATGCACATTCGCAAGACACAAAGCCAAAGGACTCCATCTTCTTGGTTTCCTCCGTTGTTTTCGGGCGGTGAATGCAATATCTGTAAAGTGAAATGCCTTCGAAAAGGTTGGAAATAAAGACTATCCTTTTCATTCTCCGTTTACAGGCTTAGAGCTTCACATTTTTAGACTGCCATGTTTTCTTCAAACAGTTTCATGTGTGCTAAGAGAACAGGAGGATAATAAAAATTAGCAAACAAGGGAAGAAAACACAAAAGAAAAGGAAGATTTCATGAGTAAACATTTTAAGTTGAACAAGGCTTGGCCCCTCCCTGCATACACCAGGAGTACCCAGGTTCTGGCATTGGCTTAGAAAGAACGTCACCCCTAGTTATCCAGCAAACGTAACTCGTGGAAAGTTTCTGGTGATACAATCATATGTGAAACATTGTTCATAGCATTCAATTAGAGCCCTTACGAGTCAGAGAACTCGTTAAATAGGCAAAAGAGTTAAAATTTCAAAATCGTCATAGTTCGTCTGAATCATAAGAAACTTCAAGGATCAATGTCATGAATTTGTTTCTTCTCAGTTCTTTCATTATCTTGTTAGTTTAATTAGTCTGGTAGATGAGCTGTACTCATAGGTCATAGGTGGGGTTTCAG